ACAGTGTCATCGTAGTTTCTTGTGTAGCTATGTCTGCATGTTACAGATTCTGGGTTGTCTCACTCATGCCTCACCTCAAGACCTAAGTACTACACACAACAGGAGGTTAACAGGTGCTTCTTGAAACATATAGGATTTAACCTACATGTGCCAGTTTAAATTGGGTTTCTTTCTCTTTTTTTTTGCAGTACCGGGGATCAAACTCAGGACCTTGTGCTTGCCAGGCAGGCACTTGTGCCACTGAGCTATATCCCCAGCCCCCTAAAATTGAGGTTCAGCAGCAGTTCAGCTACCATTTAATGGGACCACATTATTGGAAAGTTAGTACGGCTTTCAAAGTTCATGGAAACGTTACATTATACCTAGAACACCTATCTTCTTCACCTCTAGGGTAACCATATAACTGTGGACAGATTACGTCTGGAGAACTTGACTTGGTCTTTTTGAGACAGGGTTTTATTATGCAGTTCAGGCTGGCCCTGAACTCACTTTGTAGCACAGGCTGGCCTCCAGGTATCCCCCTGCCTCGGCCTCTTGAGTGCTGAGAGTGTACGTGTGGACCAACTTCATATCTAAAATACAAAGTTGAGGTGATAACCACTTCTCTAAGGGAAAATGAAGCCTCAGATGGCGGCCCATCGGTGGGATGCTGAGGGGAGGTTTCCAGTGGACATTAAGTCCAAGTCTGGAAGATTGTGGGGCCAGCGTGCCTCATCAGTCTCAGTGTAAATAACTGATACAACCAAGGTCATTACAGGCATGTGGTCACAGCTGTGTCTTTCAATGCCACGAGGGCCGGCTGGAGACTAAGTGGCGGAGGACTGCTGGGAGAATAGGTGGGCTTGGCCTGAACCTGAAGTGGACCTCCCAGCCTGCACTGGTGGCGACTTCACAGGATGTAAGTTTTCACGAGCTCATTTAAATTGAAAGCAGCCTGTGTATGCATATGTAATTCCTCCTTTAGGCCAGAGTTATGGGCTGAACTTAGCACCTAGACTTCTCATAGCTTGTAGAGTGCTACAGTTTGATTTCTATGACCGATTGCATGAGCTCACAGGAGGACAGCCTAGCAGCAGCATCTCATAAACTCAAGGGAATTTCGCCTTCATCAATTTTAAGAATGAATAATATGGTGTGACTGGTACTTACAGTAACACTCAGCAAATATCAGTTCAACACCTGGCCAAGTGATGGAAGTTTTAAAGTCTATTAAGGGAGCCAGGGACATAGCTCAGTGGCACAAGTGCCTGCCTGTCAAGTGCAAGGTCCTGAGTTCGATTCCTGATACAAAAAAAAAAGTATCCCAAACAATTTCTTGAAATGAGCTCTGTGGAAAATCAGTTGATGCTACTGGTTATTATGCAGGGGTAGGATTCTGATTGGGCAAGTGGCGTGTTAAATAACTGAGAATCTCTATTCTGGGGCTTTCTGCCCTTGAATTGTGTGCATTGTGGATCTCTAAAAGGGGCTCAAGCCAACAGTTCTTTGGTAACAGATGGAACAGCGGCTGGTGGTGGCTTGCTCGTTTCTGGACTCATCTGCCTGCAGCTGGATCACTGTCAGCGTGGGCATCCCGCCTTGTCAAGCGGGGATTCAGCACAAGCGACCAGGGCAGGAAGGGGAATGGTGACACCATGCGTGTGGCACACGTAGGAGTGGGGCTGTTAAGGGCGGGTGAAGGTGGCTGGGAAAGGTTGAATGAGAAGCCGGGGTGAAAAGTGACTGGGAATCACTTGGACCCAGGCCAAAGTAGAATCTCCTTTGCAGATGGCTGTGTCTTGCAGATTGTCCCTGTGTTCTTGGAAGTCAGTTTCTGGTAGTGTGGAAGTACGAGATGATATGGAAGCACAGTCTTTAAAATTCAGTCCAGTCCCATCTGTGAAAGTGTGATTATTTCCTTTTGTTTGGCAATGTTTATTTCCTCAGTCTTTTTTTCCCAGCCATTGTGCTAGTTCCTGTGGGTAATTAGAAAAAGTATTAATATATCGTCTGTGTGAATATATTAGTTGAATGACAAGACTAACACACAAGACATTGTTAGCAAACTGAGACAAAATGTACTGAGAGCCAAACTTTCAATGGTCTGTTCAAGAAAGAAGAAGACAGGCATGGTGTGGAAGCTTCCTCCGGACTGTGTGGACTTGGGTTTACAGACCGGTAGGATTTGCATGGCAGAAAGAGCAGTCCCACTGCAGGTCTGTGTAGCAGCTTGGGGGTGGAGGCAGGAGGGCAGAGGGCTTTGGAGCAGAGCCGAGGTGGCATCTGGCAGCTTTGCGCGGGAGATAAAGACTTAACAGCTATCTCCTTGAGAGTAATCGTTTAAGCCATGTGAGCGCTGGGAACTTTAGAGGGAGAGGTTGTGGCAACACCATGGCAAGCAGGACATTAAAAGTGGGTGATGAGCACGGGCACATCTGCTTTCCACCCAGCACCCTGGTCTCTGCCAACCTCGGGGAAAGTACGTGGAGAAACTGAAGACTAGAACGTTGGCTGTAAACTGGATCCTGTTGCTTACCTCTTAGCATAATTAGGAGGACCAAATGAGAAAAAGAAATACTCCCTTTAGTACCTGGGACATGTTGCTTACTCCCACGTAGCTGAAGCTCGCCGGAGCAGTGGCTCTCGCTGTGGCTCTCGGGCCAGCAGCATCGGTATCATCTGTGAGCTGTTGACACAGTGGATCTTCACGGATGTCACTCGACCTGCTGAGTCCGAGGCTGTGGGGACAGGGCAGAGGAGATGATTTCAGAGGCTCTGGAGGGGCATCGTGTGCAAAGGCCGCCCTAGAGTAATCCTGCAGCTGAGGGTCGGCTGCTCAGAGCGGGGAGTATTTTAAGTAGGGTCAGAGTGACTGTGTCCTTTGCAGTAGAAAAGGAAGGGAGTAGGGAATTGTTTGTAGTGCGAAAGTAAAAGCTTTACACGGGATGTTCAATAAATACTTGTCTTTATATTATGGATGATGCCTGCTTTAGTACTGTGGTGGAGATGAAAGGAAGGCTTCAGGGCTGTGGGAACACACGTAGCCCAAATGATACCACCACCATGGGATCCAATGAGAGATTTGCTGTGAGGGTCAAACCTTACGTTTAGCAGGTTTTTACGGATGGCCCACCTTTTGTGACCAGGCACTGCTATATGCTGGAAATAGAAAGTGAGGTGTTACTCTTACTTCATAGTCTTTGCAGAATTATATCTTTTTAAAAAGGGTTTTGAAGTTGTTTTCTGGCAACTCGATAGTAGTGTCTGATCTGTTTTCTGTGTCAGAAGATAAGTGTATGGTTGTCTTCCAGTCAATGTAAAGCCTAATTTGAAACCACTACCTCTTTTATCTGGTGGTGCTAGGTCTAGGGCCTCCCACATGCCAGGCAGGGGCTCTACCACGGAGCCACATCCCTAGCCCATCACCGCCTCATTTCTGGAAGTGTTCTGAATATTGGCTTACAGCTTGAAGAGATGATTTGAAATATTTTGAAAGAGTTTCCAAAAAAAAAAAAAAAAGGGGGGGGGCTGGGGAGATAGCTCAGTGGCATAAGTGCCTGCCTGGCAAGTGCGAGGTCCTGAGTTCACTTCCTGGTACCAAAAATAGAAGAAGAAAGAGTTTCCGTCCTTGTTTCAGGTTGGTTTTCAGCACTGAGGACTTATGCTCATTGTTTTTTCCTCCCACCCCCCTCAGTCAGCATTAACAGTAGAGATCTCAGACGCTTCAGCTTGGAATAAAGGAAATTAGCTTTGAGTGTCATCATTCATCTAAATTCATTCGTCACTTACCGCCCGTTGTGCATACAGCATCTCGCTAATAATAGGTGTCAACAAGTTATATGTTGTTGAAGAGCCAGAATTAATAGCTCAAGGCCATGCTTAGTGAGTGCGGAGGAGTGGCCCGTTACAGCACGAGTCTGCACTGGCCAGGTTGGAGGTCAGCCAAGTGCTTAGAGGATTCCACCTTCAAGCATGCACAGAACTTGGGTTTCTAAGTGTGCCGTTCCTGTAAGACACTCTCCTTCATGGTGAGAGGGGAAAGTGAGTCGCTTAGAATGACTGGCTAGAAAACTATTGTCCAGCCTTAGGCTTCCTGGAGAGTAGGTGGCGTACTATTTGAGATTGCACTTCTGTTCCGGTGTGATGTGTCTGTGGGCGTCCAGTCTTGTATGCTGAAGAGATTTAAGGGACAGCCAAGTGGGAGCGCCCTCCGGAGATGACAGTGATGACTGATGAGTCTGAATATTTTTTGTTCCAAGGACGTTTAATCGACACTCAGACCATGCTGCCTACACTTGCCTTACTGCTGTAGGTGTTTGGGCTGGGTGGGTGGGGACTGAGGACTCTGATGCGCTTTTTTATTATCTGCCTTCTGTCTCCAGACCCCTCAGAAGAAAGTGGTTGATGCCTCAGTCCATCACTTTAAGAGTGCTCAGGCCAGGTTAGGCTTCATTGTCACCAGAAGCAGAGTGGTCTGTGGTTTTGTGTTGGAGAAGGTGAACCTAGAGAGAACAAAACCTCTTTAAAAATGTAGTAATTGATTCAGTAAAATCTTTCGTATCATCACAGTGCAAGGGTGAAGACTGGGTATCTGGAGACCAGGTGGAATATTGAATAAGTGTGTGTGTGTGTGTGTGTGTGTGTGTGTGTGTGTGTGTGTGTGTGTGTTTTAAGACATGGTCTTGCTTTGTAGTGCAGGCTGGCCTTGAACTCACAGTGTTCCTCCTGCCTCAGGCTCCCAAGTGCTAGGATTACAGGCATGCACCACCATGCCTGGCTTGGAATGTAACTTTTGAAGTGTATGACTTTTCTACATCTGAGCCTTACCAACTATCCAAAAATTAGTGTTCTGAAAACATTGACTCCAGTATGAAAAATGGAGATATGGCCTCATAGGGTTTCAGAGTTGAAAGAGGCTTTACATTTCCAAAAGGAGAAAAGGAGCTGAAAGTTTTGTGGTAGATTTTGTTACGGTTGCTCTTGAGTTCACCTCTTCTTCTGCTGTGTTCTGTTTTCCACAGTGAACACCTACTTCTTCATGATGCAGGCTCAAGGCATCCTGCTGCGGGACAACGTGAGGACAATAGGTGCCCAGGTGTACGAGCAGGTGGTTCGCAGTGCTTACGCCAAGAGAAACAGCAGCCTAAATGACTCAGGTATGTTTTTCATGAAGAGGGGGTTGGGTAAAATGGCTCTTCCCACGGGAGCCAAATTTGGCTTGAATAGTCACTTTCAAAGAAAAAGGTAGATTGTGCAGGAGGAGGAGGAGGGTTTGGTTGTGTTCAACCTTGTTATGGGACAGAAAGGTCCAGCCTTGTGAGTCCGCCTGAGCTTTTGTTAACAGTGTATTAAGGGTGACTTGCATTTCCACACCCGGTACTTTCCAGGGAGGTAAAGGGTGTTTTTCAGAATACTTTGAAAAGATGCCCCTTTCCAGTGTAGTGGCCGCCAGTATCTTGTCCCAGCAGAGCCAGCTTATGCTTAGGGCCCCCGTGGAACAGGAGCATCAAAAGCTGTTTGGGGGAATAATTGGGCTTTTTAATAATTTGGCTTTTAATCTCAGAAAATGTATTTACATAGTTGGGTGGTACAAGCTTGGTTGAACCCCGTTATACTTACTTACTGCGTGGCTTAACCTTGGGGATCTGTATGTTCAGTTTAGTGTTTGGAGACTCGCATGGTGAGTGGTGGGCTGTGGTCCTGGTCTGTGGTGTTTCCCTCCCTCGTAATCTGGCCCTTGTTGTGTGTAAGAGATGGTCCCCCTCTGCTGCTCCTGTTGGCCTTGCGTGTGCTCAACCCCAGGGGACTTCTTCACCCCATTGTTCAAGAATGATTTTTTGAAACTTAGCAAATCTCTTATTTCATAATGATCCTGTAATCTGGCAACAGTTTTCACAAGTGACAGTTACTAAAAAACAGCTTCTGGAAGGAAAGTTGAGATCACCGGGCCTTGCCTCCCAGTCAGGCGTGATGTTCATCCTGCGGTTTATTCTCAGCTACATGGTCGAGTTTGCGTCACAAATGCGGGTGGTAATCGGCTTAGAAGGTGGTGGTTTTGGTTCACAGCTTCGGAGGTGTCAGTGCATGAGGAGTCCGTGGGTTGCTTTTGGTTGTGTGACTGGGTAGCAGCACATCATGGTGGAGCAAAACTGCTCACCTTTTGGGCATAAAGCAAAAGTGAAGAAGTGGCCTGGTCCCTCTGTTCCTTTGGAGAGCATGCCCCAGGGTCCTTATAACTTACACGGCAAAGCTTAACTTAACAGCTAGAGTTTTTTCCTAAGAGGCAAGGGGCTTCTCCAGACTTTCCCTTGCTGGGTGCATAAATAATACCCTTCCTCTTCTGAGCCCAGAGGAAGTGACAGAATGTGCAGTTCCTGGCTCCAGGAGGTCACAGATCAGTTTCCTCTGCACAGGAGAGAGAGGGATCAGCTAGAGACGGCTGGGAGGGATAAAACAAGCCTTGAGACGTGTGTTGTCCTGTAGTATTCCCCGCTCCCTTCTGTTAGTGCTATACAAGACTGCTGCACACCTACACAGAGGGAGACAGCCATGTCAAGTAAGAAGGCCCCTCTATCTCCTCAAAGCTGGCTTTGAATAAAACCTGTTTTCTTCTCATCAAAATACATGGTGTCCATAATTTGGTCAGCAGCAAGCAAACAAACCTGAGCGTTTGGACTTAGGTCTAGTAACAACCTGAAGGCCCCCACCAAATCTCACATGAGTTTCCACCACCGCCCAGGAGTACCAGGTTGGGGACCCGTCAGATCTAAGCCATAGCAGGTGTATTTCAAACCATTCATCCAGTCATTGCAGTGACAGACCCCAAGGTAGATGTTTCTGCCTCAGTCCTTTGTACTCCTAACACTGGCTTTTAGCATCTGAGCATTAGTGATACAGAGAGGAAAGAACTCAGACAAGATGGTGGGCGGCTGCCCAGCATACTGCAGGGACGTGTTGCTGAGTATGGTTTTGACCAGCTTTTCTCTTTTGGGTACTGAGGATTGAACGCATCTACGCTAGGCCAGTGCCCTACCGCTGAGCTATGCCCAACCCTTGACTAGCTGTTTTTACATAGACTGTTCTTCAAGTTTAAGATAAAACTTTTCACTCAGGAGGCTGAGGCAGGAGGATTGTTGTGAGTTCGAGGCCAGCCTGGGCTATAAAGTGAGTTCAAGACCAGCCTGAACTACATAGTGAGACCGTCTCAAAAAGACCAAAAAAAAAAAAAGATGGAACCTTTGTTTTTTTGCCTTCAGGAAACCGAATATAAGTATTTCCACTATCAGGAGACATCCCCTGTCTAAAGCATGTTCCCATGTTTTGTAGTACTGGGATCAAACCCAGGGTTTTCACACTGAAAGACATCCTTAGCCCTTTTTTTATTTTTCATTTTGAGACAGGGTCTTGCTAAATTACCCAGTCTGGGCTCACACTTGTAATCTTCTTGCCTCATTGTCCCTGAGTGCTGGAATTAAAGACATACATATGCCACCATACCCGATTCGGGGGTGGCTTAAATAAATTAGTTTCTGAGATTTCATTTTATTTAGCACTCAGTTTACTGCTTGTTTAGCTAAGGATAATGTACTTTTCTGTGGCTTCCAAATCCCCTCTTAAAAACATGTGCATATTTTAAAATAGTCTTTCCTTTGTACCAGTCCTCTCTTCTATTAAGCTTGAAGATTGAAGTTCACTATAAAATACAACATTTCTTTGTGAACTTTCCAAATGAGGTATATTCTGTGGTGCTTGGAAAATCAAGGGAAAGCGTTGCCTCATAAAGGGAAGGTAAAGCCTAGAATTGACTGCAGTTTTTATTTAATTTATTTATCAGTCTCTTCTGCTGCCCAGTTTATCAGCAACAAAGGACTGTAATTAGCAAACTGATGAGCTTTTGATCCTTACTTTTTCTTTGTGAGCTCTTTAGACAAATTGTGGTCACTGCTGGGGTGAATTGCCTGACTGTGAACCGTACCAGGGGTAGGAGTACCTGCAGTTCTAAAGTGAAGTCTGAGTACGTTTGTGGTGTCATGATTCATTGTGTGTGGTGTTAGTTCTACACACAACACAGGCCCCATGCACACTGCTCCAGTGGCTGAATTTCAGTTCTTTCCTTCCTCCTCCCCTCTTCCTTTCTCTCTCCCCTCCTTCTTTCTCTCCCTCCCTTCCCTTTCCCTTCCCATCCCTCTCCTCTTTCTGTCCTCCCTTCCTCCCTCCCTTCTTTTTACTTGTGTGTGGTAAGCATGCACTGTACCACTGAGCTACACTCCCTGTCCCTCTATTTTTCACATGCAGTACAAAGAAATCTGGGGTGGGGGTTTGCAGTGGTGGAGTGGCGTGGTTGTTTGACTCTCGAAGCCCTGACCCAAACTTTTCTCTAATTAGTGATTGTCTTACTTTCTGGTTGCTAGGAGAAAATACCCAACACCCATATGTTAAAGAAGGGTTTGTTTCAGCTCACAGTTTGTAGAGGTTTCAGTCCATAGTCACCTGGCTCCAAGGCAGGGTAGCATGGCAGAGAGGCATTGCAGAGGAGAAACAGCTCATGGCAGGGCAGGCAGAAGGCAGCAAGCAACAAGCAGCAGCCAGCAATAGGCCTGCTTTCTTTCTGTCCCTTATATTCCACCCAGGCTACCAGACTATTGATGGGGGGCTTCCATTATCCATACCCAGTCCATATCAGTAACCTACCCTAAGTCCAGCCCCCTTCAAAAAGCCCACCTATGACCACATGAGACTTTGTGGCTGTTTTCCCAGCAGTAGTTATTTCTAAATGTGCTCCTTTTTTTTTTTCCCTGCAGATGAGGTTTCACTATGCAGTTCAGGCTGGCCTTGAACTCATTTTGTAGCCCAGGCTGGCACAGTGATCCTCTTGCCTCAGCCTCCATGTGCTGAGATTATATGCATGGGCCACCACGCCCAGCTAAATGTGTTAACTCCCTCCCTGCCCCCCCTCTACCGGGAATCGAACTCACGACCTCGCACTTGCCAGGCAGGCGCTGTGCCGCTGAGCTAAATCCCCAGCCCCGTGTTAACTCTTGAGAATGCTGTCTCTATAATTCATGGGTATTTGTCCTCATAACATCTTTCAAGTATCTTTTTAGACAGACCGGCAAGTGCTTGGACTTTATTCAAAGGGAGGAGAAAGTGGTGGTTTTACCTGGGTCTGCTGCCCAGTCCAGTGCCTATGCCCTTGGGCTTGGCAATTCAGGGAGAAAGCAGATTCCCACCTCTGCCCATGCTGGGGCAGCTGTGCCACCCAGACTACCCATTGGAATCCTGAGGGGAGCTTTAGAAAGCACCCATGTCTGCACCTGACTGCTGGGACTGTGTTAAGGGCTTCTGGGTGATTCTAACATGCACCAGGCTGCAGAAGCACGGGAGTAAGGTGAAGGTGAACAAGCAGCTGCGGATGGACAGAAAGGCTGGCGTGTGTGCCCCTGCGCTGGCAGTGTCTGCTGTTTCCGTCAGGAACGGAGGCGCTGCACTTTCTTGGCCCTTCTGCCTCCCCAGCTAGAACAGGTCCCGACTGAGGTAGATCGAGTTAAATTAAAAAGCAGAGCCATGGCTTTAGAAGTTCAGCAGGCTTATTTTTTCTCAGCAGTCCCTCATTTGTTAGGTGCACAAGAGCTGGACGGCCCTTCGGGGCCCCGAGGACGATGTGCGCCGGGCCTGCCCGTTTCCCTGCAGCTGCCCATTTCAGGGCAGCTTAGAGGAGAACGGGGGCTCCTCACAGTGCCCGTGCTGCGCGTCCAGGAAATGAGCAGTTCATTTCCGCTCCCTCTTTCACTTCTTTAAAAAGGATCTATGGCTATTAAGAAAGAGAGTTTTATTTTACTTACATTTTTATTTAAAGAAATGAGGAAATTAGCCTTTCCCTCCTCCAAGGGAGAAGGTGAGGTTATGGGGAGCCTTCACTCCAGAATTGTGCGTTGGAAAGGTTTTATTCTGTTTCATACTGGTTGCTGCCATGCTTGCTGCGTCAGTGCTGGGAGGCAGTAGAAAGGGCACCCCTGTGTCTTCAGCGGACCCCGGTAGCGGGTTAGAGATGGGTTAGAGATGTCTGGTCTCTGCTTTTTCCTTCCCGTCCTTGCACACCGCCCCTCCTTTCTGTTTGGGTAGCTCTAAGGCTTGAGCATCTTGTTACCCAGAATTCCTGTTTTTGTTGATTTTCTTATGAAAATGCTTGGAGTAATACCTTTGGGAGTTCACTGCTGTCTAGGCATATGAGGCATGTATTTTCTAGTACATGGGAAGTCTTTTGCATTTTTTTTCCTGGAGATTCGTCCTGGCTTGGCTTATATCTTCACATAGCTTAATCTCTCCTAGTCTCTGTTAACACAGACTTCTCCCCCACCCCCCAAAAAAGCCATAACTGGAAGGGGCGGAGAGTATTGTGTGCCCTTCCCCCCTTTTAAGAGGTGGTTTAAATTCTCTTGAAATTGTCTCATTGCCTGTGGAGTTAGTCAGCCATGTCCCTATAAAAAAGGATGCAGTGTATTAGCCATTTGATTCTAGGAAACCTTCTCACACTGCTTTTTAGGAAATAAATTGAGTTGAAGACTCTACAACTCTAGCGTGCAAAGTGAATGTGAACAGGAAGTTTTCATTTTCATAATGTCCGCACGAATCAGAAAGAACTGGTGAAGCTGGATGAGGCGGCACTTGCTTGTAATCCCAGCACTCAGGAGGCTGAGGCAGCGGGAATGCAATGAGTTCAAGGTCAGTCTAGTGAGACCCTGTCTCAGGGGGAAAAAAAGAGAAAGGAACAGGTGAGAGAGGCTTTAAAGCAGTGTGAATAAACAGTGCAGTGTGATGATGTGATGGAAAGGTCAGGACCCCAGACTTTCGTTTCGTGAGACAGGGTCTTGCTCTATGTAGTTCTGGTTGGCTTTGAACTCTCAGTGATCCTCCTGCCTCAGCCTCCCGAGTGGTGGGATTACAGGCATTCACCGCCATGCCTGGCTTGCTCTCTTTTGTAGTTTTATGTAGTTCAGGCTGGCCTTGAACTCACTAAACAATCCGGACTTTAACTGTGGTGCACCAGCCTGATCCCCTGAGAGTTGTACATTTGGTGTTTCTGTTTATTCATTGGGAAAGATGAGGTTGGAGGACCTTTTTCTTCTGCCCCAGTTGTCCTGAGCAAAGAGGAATCTGTTCACACCCTTAACATCCCACTGAAATCAAGGGAAGGTTATATGGTTTATATATATATTTTTTAATGGCTTGAACCCTCAAGAGTGAGGAGACTGTGCTGTTCTGGCAGATTAGACTGGAGTCCTGGGGAGTCTGGGCAGACCCAAAGGTAACGACGCTTCTGGCTGTGCCCAGCCAGAGCGCCTTCCACACGGACTTGGTCCAAGCCCTCCCAGTTGGCTGTCCTGTGGCCCTCCTATGTGTTAGCAGATGGGTCTGTGCTAGAGACAGGGACACACAGGAAAAAGAGCACAGAAGGGAGGACCTCAGGAAGTCGAGGTCCCCCTCCGCAGACAGCGGGAGCACAGTGTGTGGAAGCAGACCCTCAGCCAGACACAGGGGCATGCAATCTCCTGACAAAGAGTGTTCTTCACTCTGTAGAAAGAAATTACCGATCCCTTGCAAAGGTCAGGCGCTGGAATGACCTGAGACGTAACCAGCGCAGCACCGAATAGGAGGCGCCTCCGCAATTGTACAGGGAAAGTATTTCCAGCCCATAATTCTGTAAACTCAGCCACACCACAGACCAAGTGAGGAAGAGCAAAAGCTACACCACCTAAGCTTTCAAAGTCCTGTGCTTCTCAGTTCCCCTTCTTAGGAAAATATTTAGAGCACCATGAAGGGAGAAAATGTGAAAAACTGAACTTAGGAAGAGTGTGGCTTGGCCCGTTGTGGTGGTGCACACCTGTAACCTCAGCACTCAGCAGGCTGAGGCAGGAGAACAGCTCGAGTTGAGGCCAGCTTAGGCTGCATAGTGAGTGCAAGGTCAGTGTGAACAACATAATGAGACCCTGTCTTAAGTGATGGTTCAGTCTCATGCTAGAGAGGCAGAAGCAATTTCCAGAGCATGGTGAGTGGTCCCAGCTGGCTGTGCACAGCAGGCATTCTGGAAGTGGGGTGGGAGGATGAGGACGAGAGAACACAGGTGTGAAAAGAGGTCTTCGGACCAGGCGTAGTGGAAGAGGGCATGGCACTGGGTCATAGTGATCGCCTCATTAAACAGAAAGACAAGGTAGTTGCTCCAGGAAAAAGTTACACTAACTTCCCTTTCCGTATTTCTGTTCTGACGAGTGTTTAGAGTATAATTCTATAGACACCGAATTTTAATGTGGCTGTTGGGAGACTAGGGGGCGGGAAGGGGAGCGACTAGAGGACAGGACGCCGTGAGCCTAGCTTCCCAGGCTGGCCGAGGTGCACACTGCCGCCTGGGCTAGCAGTTGGCCAGAAGAGGTGAGAAGTGTTGCTTTAGTGTAAAAGAAGGGCGGCAGAGGGGACTGTGGTTGCTTAAGTTTCACTTTCTTTCTAGCTGACTGTACAGTGAGTGCGCAAACGCCTGTGACGCCGGTGAGATGGGAGGGGCCCTGGGTACGGGAGGCAGTGTCCTCCGGGAACAACCTTGCGGATGAGTTCAGATTTCCAGGGTGGTGCGGAGGCCTCCAGTGCCTGCCGCCCCCAGGGTGGTAGTGGGGAAGGTTCTCCGGGCTGGGCGTTGGCCTTGGCGATGGGTTGCACAGACTGACTTGCCTCTCCCCTCCCACCAGATTACCCTCTTGACCTGAACCACAGCGAGTCCTTCCTCCAAACCACAACGTTCCTTCCCGAAGACTTCACCTACTTCGCCAACCACCCTTGCCCGGAGAGGCTCCCTTCCATGAGTGAGTAGCACTCTAGCTTGCCCTCCTGTGCCTGCAAGTGGGCCTGTCTTTTTGCTGATTAAAATAAAGGAGAGCATGTGCACCTTCTAGGGAGGTTATAAACAAACAAACGGCTCTTCTCTCTGCAAGCAGAGTCTGCGAGAGTCACTTGTAGTCTGACTCCTCTTCCACAGGCTTGGTGCCTGCCCTCTTGACTCTGTATTACCCCTTTTCCCTCTTGACCTTGATTGTAACCTGGGGTGGCAGGATGCCAGGCACCAGGCTTTATCTTTTTCAGTACAAATCTCCCATTGGTTATAACTGATATGATACAATGGAAGTTATTTTCTTAATAAGATGCTGGTTTAAAAACTTGTGGGGAACTAGATGTGGTGGCAGATGCCTATAAATCTCAGCACTCAGGAGGCTGAGGCAGGAGCATTGCCACAAGTTCAAGGCCATCTTGGGCTACATAGTGAGTTCAAGGTTAGCCTGCATTACAAAGCAAGACCCTGTCTCAAAAAACCAAAAAATAAAATAAACTGTTGGATCTTCTTTTTGTTTTACTTTTTCTTTTTGGAGCCCTATGTGCAATTTAAAACAATGACAATAAATTTTTATATATTTTCTGTATTTTGAAGCTTCTTAGTTCTACTGCTTTTTTTTTTTTTAAATGCCAAAGGAAAATCCTAAATTTGTAGCATTTAGTTTTTGTTTGTTTATTTGTTTGTTTTTTGAGACAGGGTCTTGCTGCGTATATGTAGTTCAGGCTGGTCTTGAACTCATTAGGGCCTCTAATTCATGGCGATCCTCTTGCCTCAGCCTCTTGAGCATTGGGATTACAGGCGTGCATCAGCACACCCTGCTCAGAATTGACTTTTATGTTCAAATGGCATGGAAATGGAAGTGTTGGAAACAGCTGTACATGGTGTTTGCGCATGCTCTGTCCCCAGAGAGTAGCTGATTCCATGGCTGTGGAACTTGGCCTGGAAGCCTTCTTTGCGTTTGCGTGTCCCACGCAAATACAGAAGTCTTCCCTCTGCCATCAGCCCAGACCTATATTTACATAGAAGCTTAGTTTGGGAATGCTCAAATTGGGATTAGAAAAGTCTTCAAAGTCTTAATCCCTTGATTTCTTCTTTACCAGATGATAGTGTGTACTGAAATGCAGAGGGCTGGGCTTCCATCCCTGTTAAAGATGTGAAGGATTGAAACCTAGAGTGAAACCCTGGGCATAGTGGAAAAAATATATTGTTTTTCTGACCTCTTCATTGCCCACTTTTTCAGAGGGCCCAATAGACATAAATATGAGTGAAATTGCAATGGATGACATCCATGAACTCTTCTCCAGAGACCCAGCCATCAAGCTTGGAGGTCACTGGAAGCCTTCTGACTGCGTGCCTCGATGGAAGGTAGGGTGTGCGTCAGACCCCAAGTGCTGGAAAGCCTGTCTGGGGTTTGCCAGCCTTCTGAACCCACCCAGGATTTGCAAGATGGGATGTTTTGTGGTTTGCACTCTGCCACTCATTTGATAAAATGTTTTGGAGAATTAGTTTCCCCCAGGTCTCATCTGGAGCCACAGAAATTTGCTTCATTGTGATGGTGATGCAAGACCTTTTTCTCCTCCTAGCAAAACTAGGGGTTGGTCATTCTCTAGTGACATATGTGCGCAAGTCATCTCATGAAGTCAGTACTTCGTGCTGGTCCTTATTGGTTACCCTGAGACTAGTGGAATAAAAGCACAGTTATCAGGAAACACAGTAGTGTGGATCAAGCTTACCGCATCAGCTGAAGTCTGTTCTTTCAATGAGTGTTTTTCAGAATGCTTGTTCTGTGCTGGCCCTGTTAGGTGCTGGAAGTGCAGCAGTGCCTGGAACAGAGCAGTGTTTCTAGCTCCGCCCTTTATTGTAAAGGCAGTTTGACAGTGAGCCCCTAGCAGCACGTGCGTCTGCGTACTCTGTAGATTTATGGTGTATAGCGAGTACCATAAGACCATCGCATATATGAGTATAATATGTAAACAGTAAAAAGCTTGTTTCAACCTAATTGTGTCTTCACTTATCTACAGATGTCTTTGAGTGTTAGATCACAGTGTAGAATGTGCCTCCTTAGGGTTGTGATCTAGCATGGCTGCATTGAAGCCTGCAGTGTGCAAGGCGTAGCACACGTAAGAATAAGGCGCACTTAGTTGCAGGGTGGACTTGCCAGCATAGGTCTGCCAAGCTCCCTAACTCCCGCCGGGCGCTCAGTCGTTTTGCAGGGATGCAGCAGGAGTTCAGAGGACTAACTAGATGCCTTCTTTGGCTGTGATCCACTCTAGGTGGCCATCCTTATCCCCTTCCGGAACCGCCACGAGCACCTCCCAGTCCTGCTCAGACACCTGATCCCCATGCTTCAGCGGCAGCGCCTGCAGTTTGCATTTTATGTGGTTGAGCAAGTGAGTGGTTCTTTTTCTCTCTGCTCTGAGGCAACACTTTAGAATGCTGCAAGCTAATCCATCTTCCATGTAAAGAGCCAGTAAGGCAGAAATCTTAGTGCTGAGTTGCTCTGGGGTGGGAAGGGGAGCAGAAATGGCTTCCTGCTGTGGGTGTGAGATGTTGCCCAGTTTATTTGAGTGCAGGATGGAGCTTTATATGCCTGAGAAAAAGGGCTTTCTGTGTGTGGGTTTTGCTTGTGCCCACTCTGGGTGATGTCTTTAGGCTCCCAGCCAGGAACTTCCCCTTGAGGTAAGGAGATGCATCCAGGCCTAGCACCGGATGTGGCCTGGGAGTGGGGGCCACGGTGCTTGTTCATTAAGCACGAGGCCTGGGGCACTTGACTTCTCTAAGTTGGGGTTTGGTTTAGGTTTAATCTTGAAAGTTTTGAGATTGAAGTTCCCCAAGGCGGATTCGGTCTAAATATCCCTCTCCTCCTTGTGTTAGTACCATTGTGTGGCCTAGTTCTAGTTCACGTATTCATGGTACTGACCGGGCATCTTTTAAGTCTGTAATCCTTGAGCTTGAGATTCTTTCTGTTGACAAATGAAAGGTTTGCAAATTCCCCTCAATTTCAAGGACCATTTGCAAACTCTGTCTACCCTGCAGGCTACTTCTAAGACGCATTGCCTGTGCCACGGTAAGGGCTGTGGTGTGGTTACTTCATGTCAGAATGAAGAAAAAGAACCAGCACCACTGTCTAAAAAGGGAAGGCGTCTGGGTATGGGATGAAATAGTCCAAAGCTCTCTAGAAAAAACCTCTGTTTCTGTTCTGCTTTACCTGTCACTTCCTAAAGTTATGTTATGCTATGTTATGTCTCCTATTAACTACATATCAAGCATTTGATTAAACATCATATTCCTTATGTCCCAAGCTGGGTGTTTTGCTACTGGCAAGGGTGAGTACATGTTAGCATTTGGATCAGATAGACTGTAACTGATGTGACCTGGTCTCCTTGGGAGCTGCCAGAGTCTCTGTCAGTAGGCAGGAGTCCCTGCTGATGTTTTCATCGGAGCTTCAGAGTAAAACAAGCCAAAAAAAAAAAACACCAAACAAGCCAAAGTAATAAGCTAAATCCTCTTTCTACTAGATTTCGTTTATGAAATAGTATTTCCAAATTAGTTGATATGCCCAAGGCAGTGACTGGCACATATCAGGAATGTGATGTTAAGAAATAGAAATAAATGGCAGTTCTTCCCTCTCACCCGCATTTTCCATTCTGTTACATGGTGGAATTTCCACCCTCAGCAGCCTTGAGAGAGAAGAGCTGGGGTTTTTCACCACTTCGATTTCTGAAGAAATCAAGGACGGTGATCATTGACCTCTGAGTCACAGAGTACGTTACTGATGAGTAATCCTGGACCTATTCACACATGCCCAGTGATTTTTTCTTTTTCTACTCAGTTCTAGTAAGTTCCTCTTTTGGTGTGAAAGCAACAGAAATTTTGCTTCAAGACTATCATCTGTCTGTCTATCTGGTTTTTTTTAAGATGGTCTCACTATGTAGTTCAGGCTGGCCTTGGACTTACTATGTAGCCCAGGCAGTCCTCTTGCTTCAGCTTCTCAAGTGTTGAGATTACAGACATGCACCACCATACCTGCTTTAAGAATCCTTTTGTTTGTTTGTTTGTTTGTTTTCCAGTACTGGGAATCTAACTCACGACGTCACGCCAGGCAGGTGCTGTGCCACTGAGCTAAATCCCCAGCCTCCAAGAATCCTTTTAAAAAGAGAGTTTTGTTTCTTTTAGGTTGGCAGTCAACCCTTTAATCGAGCCATGCTTTTCAACGTTGGTTTTCAAGAAGCAATGAAGGACTTGGATTGGGACTGTCTGATTTTTCATGATGTGGATCACATACCAGAAAGTGATCGCAACTATTATGGGTGTGGACAGATGCCCAGGCACTTTGCAACTAAATTGGATAAGTATATGTATCTGTGAGTATCATTTTCTCTTAAGAGGTTAAATCTAAAAGGATGAGAGATACAAAGGTGAAATGTAAATTAGCTGCAGCACAAATGTCCATTAACTGATGAATGAATAACCAAAGGGTGGGCTGTCTGTACCAGGGTAAAAAGTAGGGTGCTTACCAGTGCCACAACATGAATGAATGAATGAATGTTGAAAATATTGGGCTCAGTTAAGAAGCTGGACACAGAAGTCATCTAATGTGTGTGATTCCATTTATTGTATGTGAAATGGCCAATATAGGCAGATTAAGGAGACAGAAAGTAGATTAGTGGCTGCCTAGGGCTGGGGGTTGCCATAGTGACTATGAACGGGTACAGGACTTCTTGGAGGATGATGAATATACTAATGATGGTGGTTATGGATGTACAACTCAGTGGATATACTGAAAACCTTTGAATCACACACTTTTAATGAGTGAATTGTATGGTATGTCAGGTGTGTCTCAGTAAAGCTATTATTACAAATCAGGAAAAGTTCCCTTAGCTCCTTTGGTGGGTGCTGGTCAGTGAGGGGCCAGTCAGATAGTCAGGGCAGCAGCACGGGGAGTGTCATTACGATGCTGTAGGAGGCCCCTAGTCTAGAAGAAACTGCCCTCGTGCAACCTGAGGGCCTGATGTTCTCTCTCCTTTCAGGCTTCCTTATACTGAGTTCTTTGGTGGAGTGAGTGGCTTAACGGTGGAACAGTTTCGGAAAATCAATGGCTTTCCTAATGCTTTCTGGGGCTGGGGTGGAGAAGATGACGACCTCTGGAACAGGTACTGCCCAAACCACATCCCCAGAGATGCTGCCTGAGGCTGTGCTGAGTGGGCTGTCCGGTGGGGTGTGAGGAAGCCACTTGTATAAGCCAGGTGTCCTGGTAGCCGTGTTTTATGGCAGTTTACTTTGTGTGTGTGTTTCTGTGGGGGTGGGGGTGGGGGTGGTAGTGTTGGATTGAACCCAGGCCCTTATGCATGTTAGGCAAGTACTCTGCCACTTAGCTGTACTCCAGCCTTCTTTATTTTTGAGATAGGGTCCCGCTAAGTTGCCCAGGCTGCCTTGAAGTTTCAATCCTACTTCAGCCTCCAGAATAGCTGTGATTACGTGTGCTACCCACACCTGCCTTATGAACCACATTTTATGAGGTTGAAATAGGTGGAATTAGTTTTGATATTATGGTAGTAGTATGTCTGATGCAATATGTTCAAAATAGTATTTCTGTGTATGGTTAATATAAAATATTGAGATAATTCACATGCATTTCTTTTTTACTAAATGTTTGAGATCTGGCGTGTACTTTATATTGTATCACCTGCCCCTTCTCAGTAGCCATATTTTAGTGGTTAGTCGCCACACATGGCTGATGGCCACCAGGGTCGGGGAGATAGCTCGGGCACATCGCCTGCCTGGCAAGTGCAAGATCCTGAGTTCAATTCCCGGCACCAAAAAACAAAAACAAAAACAAAAACATTTGATTTGTGGCTACCACAGTGGACAGAGCAGCTCCACACGGTTCTTTGAGTGGATTTTAGAAGCAGCTGAGGAGTAGTTTTCATTTGTGATAGACATAAGAATATTTGGAGTCAGAAATGATTTTTTTAGAAATAATTTTATATATTTAAAATTATATGATTATAAAATTAAAAAACAAAAACATCTGTTATCATTCAAAACACAAAAACTCACTACATCCAACCAAAACATCTTATTTTGTTCTCATTTGACATGGAAAAATAAAAAACTTAAATGACAATTTAACAGTTTTTCTTCTAAGGAATTTGTTCATTGTAAAATACATACGAGCATAAAAATAAAATTACATTACGTACAATATGAATGCTGAGAAATAACATTACGATTTTGGTGAGTTTGTCTTTAAAATGTGGTTCACAAACAATAATCTAACACCAGCATTTTAACTATAAAATAGCAGTGGGTGTGGTGGCGCACGCCTGTAATCCCAGCATGCAGCAGGCTGAAGCAGGAGGATCATAGCAAGTTTGAGACCAATCTGGGCTACCAAGTGAGCTCAAGGCCAGCCTGGACTGCAAAGCGAGACCCTGTCTCAAAAAGACAACCCCCCAAAAGTATAAAATAGCAGTAGCCTAAAGCTCAGGGTTGTGAAAATCAAGAGAGATGACGTCTTTTCATAGTGTCCGGCATGTGAAAAGTGCTCAGCGGATGTTACCGCTTGTGTACGTCAACATGAAATACTCTTCCGGCAGCAGCGTGTACCAGGGTTCCACTGAATTCTGTTACCTGGATGTACCATAGCTGTTCCCTATGTGTATTTAGTCCTTCAGTTTTCCCACAAGTATAGATTGTAATTGTGGATGTTCTTTTACCTGTTTCTTACTCATGTGTAGGAAAAATTCCTAGAAATGAAATATGGTCCAAAAAGAATCATTTTTAAGGCTCTTAGGCTGTGTTAGACAAGGGCTGTCCCCCTCCTGCCGTAGACGATACCTAAAATGTACACTTCCCCGACATTCTCTGCACAGCATCGTTGGCCCTCTGCAAACTGCATGTTGCACTACTGGTGACGGCGCATGCAGACTCGACCACGCCTTCACGTGAGGCTTACATTACACAGTCTCTGTGAACAGGCCTGGCTGAGTGTGGTGTCGTGTTTTTACAGAGGAATGAATAAATGGCAACCTGTAAGCACCAAATGTAGAAGAATTTAATTTCCACCATGTATCTGTTTACTTTCTGGCCTGGCTTTTAAAAAGAACGTATATGTTGGTTGTTATTTGCTGGTAAACACTCAGAAGAAGCCAGGTTTGGTGGCACACACCTGTAATCCCACCGCTGGCATGCTGAGGCAGGAGGATCACTGCAAATTCGAGGCCAGCCTGGGCTACATAGTGAGTTCAGAGCTGCCCTAAACAACACAGCAAGACCCTGTCTCAAAAAAAAAAGCCAGAAGATACAAAAGTATATAAACCACAGGATCACTGTGAGTTCAAGGCCAGCCTGAACTGCATAGTGAAACCCTGTCTCAAAAAGACCAAAAACAATAAAAAAGCAAGAAAACAAAGGCTATATAAACCAGAGAGTGTAAGTCTCAGTCCCCAGTGCCATCTGTTTTATTGCGTGGGAGGAACCTTTTAACAAGCTGGTTTTTTCTGTTCACATCCAGACATCTAAGCCAAGTCTCATCTCTTCCCACATCAGTGTCTGTGTTTTCAGTAACAGTTACATGGTATTCCCTGACACAGGTGCACAGTAATTCGTTTTACTTTCTCCTTTTGGTGGACATCAGCTGTTTATATTTTTTAACATCGTTTGTTCACATGGGCAAATATTTCTTTTGTGGGGGGGGTCTTTTTTGAGGCAGGGTTTTGTTAGACAGTTCAGGCCTTAAGCTCACTTTGTAGCCCAGGCTGGCCTCCAACTTGCAACAATCCTCCTGCCTCAGCCTCCCAAGTGCTGGGATTACAGGCATGCACCACCATGCCCAGCTACATGGGCAAATAATTCTTTTTTTGTGTGTTTGTTTTTGTTTTTTTCCCCCTGTACCAGGAATTGAACTCATGAGCTTACATTTGCCAGGCAGGTGCTGTGCCACTGAGCTAAATCCCCAGCCCCGGGCAAATATTTCTTTAAATTCCTGATAGTGAACTATACAGACAAGACATACATGCACTTTCAAATTTCTACTTTTTTCTGCCAAATTCTCCTCCCCTCCACCCTTGACCCGCAAAATTCTGACTAATGGTGCCTTACTATGCCTACTCTTTTTTCTCCTTTTTGGGGAGGAGTTGGGGAGTGATTTTTAGGAACCAACATGTCACATTTTGAAAGAAGAGAAAACAAAACCAAACCCTTAGCATTGAGGTTTTTTGTTTTTGTTTTTTTGTTTTGAGACAGGGTCTCGATATGCAGCTCAGGCTGGCCTTGAGCTCGCTTTGTAGCCCAGGCTGATCTCAAACTCGCAATGATCCTCCTGCCCCAGCCTCCCCATTGCTGGGATCACAGACCTGCGGCACCATGCCCGGCTAGCACTGCCCAGCACGACACTTTTCTCACACCTCCACTGACACGGCGTATAAACTGCCCTGTGCCTTTTCCCAGTCTGTGGATGGAAATAGAGCTGTTGCCGCGCACACACCAGGGCACCTGCTTGTTGGGGCCAGTGGCGCCTCCACGGCCACACTTGGCTTTGCTCCCTTCTGGCAGCTCCCAGCCTAGCAGAGGCCCCCAGGTGCGGGGCTGTGGCTGGTTTTCCCCAGCACCCTGCGTAGTTCCACGGGCACAGCAGCCATTCCACATTTGCCAGATTTGAACAAGAGCACGTTTTGGTGTGTCAACATCAGAGTGTAATTGGGAGCCAGAAGGAAGCTCTTGTAACGGTATTCTCTCATGAATGTCCCATCAGCAGCCTGCCTGCCTTCCTGTGTTAGTTGTTTCTTAGAACCAGTGAAGTTGCATGATGGGGCGGAGATCTTCCGTTTACTAGCAGCATTCAGGCTAAGTGGCCTGAATGCCACCTTTGAATTCTGCTGCCTAGCAGTGACTTTCATGATTGGAGAGGTTGTGCATGGAGATCAGAGCACATCCCAAGAAGTGGTGCATCCCTGTGGGGCGATGGGCAGAGGCCTCAAGTCAAGAAAATGCACTATGGCCTCCCTGAGTTGCTTTGTTGTAGGTTGTGGAAGGGCAGGTGTTGTGACCGCCGGAGGGAAGTGTTTTGCCCGGAGGCAGCAAGCCAGCCCAGAGGGCGTGCCAGTGCGCCGTTCTGTGTGCAGCTCCCTGCCACAGAGACCCCGTGTCAAGTCCCGTTGCTAAGGGTTTTGTTTTGTTTTTCCACTTTCACAATGTGATGTATTGTAGATTTCTATTCTGAACTCACAGACTTACTGGGAAGATAAACAGTTTGAATATTTAGATACAGGAGAAGTTCTGCTGTTCACCTGGCAGTTCCTTGGCCTTAGCACGTGACGTGTTTCAGACTAGAACATTGTGTTACGAGGCTGCCCTCTGTAACGCCAGGTGCTGGTAGAGAACGCGCACAGGTGCTCACCTGGTGTAGCAACCAGGCGTGTCTCCAGGTGTGTCTCACCCTCACCCAGGAGCCACTGGCTCAGATTGAGCAGTTGGAAGGTAGACACTGCATTTCCACTCCAGGTGCACGTTTTTACCTCCCTCTGCCAGCTGTTTTGTCTGGGCTGTGCCCCTTCCTTTGACCCCAGCTCTGCTGGGTGGACTTCTGTCTTCACCCCTGCTCACTTCTACAGTTCAAAATGTCCCCAACATAATTTCCAATTTGGGCTCTTTAAAGTAGAATGAGACTGGCTTTAAGAAATCTGAACTCAAATCTAAGTATTTGGGTTTTTTCTGTTCAATCTTTTAAGTTCCATAACTAACTCATTGACCAAGAGAAAGAAAAAAAATTTAAATGAATTTCCTTCTATGAGGTGTTTTCACTTCACGGCAGTCAACTCTATTTTCCTTGTATTTTCTTAATTTATATGTGACTTAATTGAATTGGAAAATTGTGAGAGCAGGTACAGGGAGCATAATCGTTTGGGATCAGCTCCTGGGGCTTCCTCGAACACACCCAGAGCTATGGGGTGTGGGGGGGGCCTTTCCTTGTGGTTCCATCTGTGGCCCCCACTGAGTCACGGAGGTGGCAGTAGGTGAGGAAGTGGAAAGCTGGTGGTGGCCTCTTGGGCGTGGTTACCCTGGGGGGCGCTTCCGGCTAAAGGCCCATTCTCTTGGTCTTGGACAGAGTACAGAATGCAGGCTATTCTGTGAGCCGGCCCGAGGGGGACACGGGGAAGTACAAGTCCATCCCTCATCACCACAGAGGAGAGGTCCAGTTTCTTGGAAGGTGGGTGCGGTTCATGTGTCCCCTTACAGGTGTCCTGTCTGTACGCTCACTGTGCGTCCCGGTGTCCCAGTACGCGGTAGAATTGTTGGTCCCACCCCACGTACTGAGTCCTGGTCTGACAGGGGTTTACCGCTGCCTGTGTCTGCTTGAACTGTGACACGGGGATGACATCGTCAGGCCTTGCCTGAGAATTTAGATAGCGAGTTCTCGGGGAAGTCCCTCGCTCCCTGTCCCCGCCCCAAGTGTGTGGTCTCCTTTGCATCTGGGGGTGAGGGGAGGGGGTGTTCACTCCACCACCCCTCCCGAGCCGCACAGCTGGCCGCCTGAGCTTTGCCCATGGGGTTGCAGTTGCTGTAGTCGCCCTTTTCTCTTAGAAATCTCAAGTGGGGCAGAGTAAAATCTCTCTGTGCTCACAGGTGACTTTGGGGGTCTCTGGAAAACTGTGGGGAGACTTGCTCTCCAGACAGGCAGCCCATCCCTGAGCCCTGCCTCTGTGGGAGCTGAAGGCACCGAGCACACACGCTCTGCTGTCTGCCTGTCATAGTAGCAGTACCCTCCCGCCCACTTGGCGACCTCAGCCTAGTCGCTGCACCCCACGGAGCCTGGATCTCCATTTGGGGGGCCGAGAGGGTTTAAATGTGGTAAAGCAGTAAGTGAGCCCCCCGGCAGGCAGCAGGAGGCGTTTCTAAGCTAACTCACTCCTGGTTGGGACTGCCCCATGCTGCCCTCTTCCTGCAAAGAGGTGGGGTCCTCGCTCAGAGCGCCCCCTGTGCTCGGCCTTACAGGTACGCCCTGCTGAGGAAGTCCAAGGAGCGGCAGGCGCTGGACGGCCTCAACAACCTGAACTACTTTGCAAATATCACATATGACGCCTTGTATAAGAACATCACTGTCAACTTGACACCCGAGCTGGCTCAGGTGGACGAGTACTGAGGGGAGAAGCACGTGGGCCTTGCCACCACCACAGAACTCGTCAGGTGACCTGTCTGGGGTCGCCACAGAAGAGACTAGAAACAAAGTCTAATGAAGGACCACAGGGTTCCAGGGAAAACTGTGACAGTACACGCACAAACGCCTTCACTGTAGGACCCGCGGGGCCCGAGGAGTCATCTCCGGACACCCCTCGACAGCACTGGCTTCTCGTCCTGCTGTGCACCCCATCTCCCACCTCAGCGCCCCGTCTTCACCGCACTGTCCGCAGCGCCTGACAGGCTGGGAGCCGCCCGGGCCGTCGTGGGCTGCCGCTGTGAACGCCTTTGGAGCCCAGCGCGCCCCGGCCTGGGCGGCCGCGGCCAGAAGCCGATGGAACGCCGCGCCGTTCTGTGCATCTCTGGCGTTCTCTTTGGCTTCATTTTTTAAAAAATTACCTGCTTTGGGTGGGGATTGAGGGTGGAAGGGAGGGATTTGGGGGTGATAGACATAAATATATAACAGTCACTTCTTGAAGAAGTATAATTGTAAATAAGCCATGTAAAATGCCTTTTTTAAATTTAATTTTATAGCTGGCTCCAATTCAAAGTGAGGATTTATACATTAGATCACATATTTGGTTGGCAAATGCAGGAACTCAGTTAAAATGCAATTGAAGAATATCATCTCCCAAACTGCTGTCGTCTTGAAAGGGAGTGGATACAGGGCCTGTCCCCGAACAAGCGAATCCCCTTTCTCCCCGAAGCTGACCTCTCCCTCCCCTCTCCTCTCCCAGGGCTCTTGCTCTTTCTGTCTGCTGTGGCCCCGCCTCCTGGTGGCCAGGCACACTCGCCCCCCAGGCCTGTGCTGGACAGGAGGCCGCTGCTGTGGGGCGCACTGCCGTCCCTGCCCGCAGCTGACCGCGGTGCTCTCTGTGTGTGCGCCGGCGCTCTGGACTTGCGTTTTGTTCTGTCTCCTGTGGAACCGGGCCCGGTGTCTGAGAGCTGTGCCTAAACGACAGCTGGCTTCAGGGATTCCTGTTTCCCTTGTGTTCCGGAAAGATGCTTTGTCCGCAGTGACTTGGGTGTGCTCCATGGAAGTGAGGAGCGGCTGCAGCGGGAAGAAGGCAGCCAGGGTGCAGGTGACACTTGCGTGCTGTGCGGCAGCCGGGCTCCAGGAGAGACCGCGTCAGAGCTTTGAGGTGTAGGCTAGCAGGCTCCCGCGTTCCTGAAGTTGGATTCTAAATTGCATTTGAATTTGTGCCTCTTTGTTTTTCCCTGAGCCAACGCCCTCGGTTTATATTTCTGGCCCTTTCTGCAGAATTCTGGAAGATGCCAGGTTTTTTTCCCCCTCCTTTTCCATAAAACATATTTATATATTGTGAGTAGGAGTACTTTCTGAAGAGTGCTTCATATTTTTTTTAATTGCCTTGTTTGCCTTCAACTTCTTAATTTTCATGGTTTACATGGGTGTGTGTAGGGGCGTGTGTATCTGTGTGCATTGGGGTTTTTCCGCTGCATGTGTTGGTTCCGTGGACGTATGATCCCCACACACTGTGGGAGTGATTGGCCAGGCCTTGTTTTTTTGTTCGTGTGCTTGTTCTTTTGAAGAACAGAGTGGTATTTAGGAAATAAATTGCAGCACTCTTATCGGCTCATATGAGAGAGCAGATGCCTGCCCTTGACAGTGCTGGTAAGTTGTATCATACATTGTAAAAGAGTTGTAAGCATTTCATGCTTTAAAACACCTTCACAAGAGAACATCGTACAGAGGAGTGTCTTCGGTTTCCTTTGTCTTACGGTGCATATAGCAATAAAGACTCCTTCCCCCTCGCTCCCATGCCAGCCTTGGCTCTTCCACTCTCATCCTTGTCTCTTTCGTCACTGAAGGCTGTGAGCTGCTTTCACTGTGACAGAGCTGTGGTGTCACTTGGGAGGATTTTCCAGGACAGGCTCATTCTGGGTCAGGGATGTCTCTGGAAGCCCTGCGTTAGTGTCATTGCCACCAAGTGCTGCTGTTGGCTAAAGACTGACACGTGATTTACTCACAAAATTGCTGATTTGAGGATAAGAGGAAAGCTGGGCGTGGTGGCGCACGCCTGTAATCCCGGCACTCGGGAGGCTGAGGCAGGAGGATCGTTGTGAGTTCGAGGCCAGCCTGGGCTACAAAGTGAGCTCAAGCCCAGCCTGAACTGTGTAGCGAGACCCTGTCTCAAAAAGACCAAAAAAAAAAAAAAAAAAAAAAAAAAAACAAGATAAGAGGAAAGGTTTGTTTTTACTGCTTAAAGTAGGGTCACTTACATCCTCTTGCAATCATGCCTAAGTTTGTTTTATTAGTATGGGATCTCTTAATATATGCTGTTAATCATGTGCCCACCAATTTGAATATCGTATGGGAAGTGTAATCATTGCAGGCGTAGCCAGGCACACGTGCTGTTTCTAGCATGAAATGTTCATGTTTAGAAAAAAGAAAGTAAGAACCAAATGTGACCTTGGACGTATTTTGGCAGCTGAAATTCTTCAAGGCTACTGACAAGTGACCCCTTAAATCAACCTAGTCTTTGATTGCTGTGTGCAAGAGAGGTTCCCCCTTTCATACTGGATTTGGGGGAGGTGATATTTGCAGAAATACTCATGGTGACGTAAGAGAGCTCTTTTGTCAGAGCTCCTCCACCACAGACATGGTAGCTGAGCAGCAGCCACATGTAGTGATTGTATCCACCCACCGATGACAATGGCATTGGACGTAGCTAGCTTATTTCCATCACTACTTTTTTTGAGATTGCTCTTATGTTTTAAGAGGTGCCAGGGGTACATTTTTGCACTGAAATCTAAAGATGTTTTAAAAACACTTTTCACAAAAATAGTCCTTTGTCATTACATTATTTACTCATGTGTTTGTACATTTTTGTATGTTAATTTATGAATGATTTTTTCAGTAAAAGATACATATTCAAGAACCAAACCTTGGTGGTCGTCTCTCTCTATCCAGGGCAGCTGGGCTTCGCGAGGGCCTTTCCTTCCTTCGGGAGGTTCAGCTTCGCGAGCTCGGTGACCTGGGTGTCCTGGGGTAAACACTGCCCCCTGGCCAGCAGTGGAAAGAACTCTTCCGGGAGGTGACAGCCCCGACTCCCCTGAGCTGCCCGCAGGAAGCCCCCCCCCCCGCCATAACCGGCCACATGGAGGCGGTAGTTTGGTACCTGAGGGTCCTCCGAAGTCAGCCGGGTTTACTCTCTGCCCTGTTCTGCTCAGAGATGATGAACATAGCTTCTGTTTATTGAACACTGACCACTCAAAATGGTATGCATTCTTGGAGATCGAGTTCTGTGCCCGGGTGCTTGGGACAGGAGCCGCAGAGTGAGGCGGGTCCTGGCGGCCCACCGTCCAGTGCCAGCGTGAGAAGTGAGTGGACTCGCACGGAGCTCTGCAGGAGTGCGCCGTGGTGACGGCGGGGGGAGGGAAGGGGCTTTGCGACAGGCGTGGGCGAGCCCAGGGAGACGGCTCCCAGCTGCAGGGACAGAGAGAAGTGGCATGGCCGGGCTTCGGGGAGGCGGGAAGACATCCTGAGAGCAGTCTGCAGTCGGGTTTCCAGCCTCAGCGCTGTGTGTGCAGGGGTAGGCCGCTGTGGGAGGCGTCTGCAGCGAGCCATCAGCGTCAAGCACGCAGGTGGGGGCAGGCGAGAGGCGGGTGGGAGGGGCAGAGGGCGAGCCATCCCCTGCTCGAGGGTGCTAGGGTGGAGGAGCCGCTGAAGCCGTTGGCGTCCGCGGCGCGCAAGGAAGAGCACGAGCTCAGGGTTTGGAGACTGAAGCACGGAGGGGTGCTTTGCGCGGACCCAGGTGGCAGCACGGTGGCAGCACGGTGGCAGCTGTGTGTGCCGTGGCCTAGGACATCCCGGCCGGGGGATCTGTGAGTGTCTGGCAGGAGCAGGGAGAAGGCGGAGGCCTCTGCGTGCCTCAGAGCACCCTGTGACGGCAGCAGAGAAGAGCAGGAGTACAGGAGGGACATGAGCGAGAGCGGCAGGAAGGTCCATGGGAGCTCGAGAGCATTCGCAGGGTGAATGCAACCAGAAAGTGACACGAGCTGGAAAATCACGAACTGGCCGAGGGGTGAGTACCGGAGCGAGGCAAGAGGTGCTTTGCTGCCCCGGTGGGGCGGGAGCCGCGTGGGCTTGGGCCGGCCACAGTGCTGAGTTAGTGGCAGGGGAGGGGTTTAAACAAAAACAGGGATCGAAGCTCCGCGCTGACCATCTCACCGGGCAGTGCAAACCCCAGAAGTCCGCTCAGTCACCAGAGTCGGGGCCTGGCAGAAGGGATTCCTGACCCCGCCGTTTGCCTCCCCTGGCCAAAACTGTCTTAATTTGGAGGCCATCCTGTATTAAAAACGGTAGTTCCCATTTATTACCTGCTTTGTGCCTGGGTCCGCGCAAAGCACCCCTCCGTCTAAGGTGGGGCTTCTCTTTCCCACTCGACCTTGGGGCCAGATCCCCTGTTGCCTGGGGCCTGAGGCACGTGTGTGGCCGCATCTCTGCCCTCTACCCTCTAACAGCCAACGAAGAACGTCGCCAGCTGCAGCCAAGTGACTGGGGAAGTAATGCCAGCAGCGGCTCTAGAAGACGAAGCCACAGCTCGCCTGGAGTTACAAAGGGGGCAGCTGAGCCAGCTGGGGGTGTTGCCACCGTGGGGAAGATGCTCCTTCCCGCTAGGCTGATTCTTCTGACCCAGCTTCCTTTTCACAAAAGTGTTCCTTTATGTTCGTTTTGTGTTTTTTTTGTTTTTTGTCTTTTTGAGACAGCGTCTCGCTATGTAGTTCAAGCTGGCCTTGAGCTCACTATGTAGCCCAAGCTAGTCTCAAACTTGCAGCAATCCTCCTGCCTCAGCCTCCCAAGTACTGACATTACAGGTGTGCACCACCATGTCCAGGATGCAAAAGTGCTCTTAATAGCTTTTGTTCACAGATAGTTTTTAAGGTATTTTTATTGAGAAACCAATAAAAGAGCACATATCTGCTACAAAAATAAAACAACTTCTAAATCACCCTTTCCTTAATTTAGCAGCTGAATGTCTTTATCACTTATATAAATGCACAGGGATAAACAGACATTTTGCTGTTGTGTTTGGTCCATTGACCTCCTCCCATGATGCACTGCTTCCTGGCATAACACTCTCGGGCCACTTCTCTGGAGAGGCCTCTGAGCGCTCAGTCCAGAATGCCACAGCCTTCTCTGTCCCCATACCCAGTTTTGTTTTGCTTCCCAGTATCTCTCGTTCTGCTTCATATTGTCTTTATATTATTGTTCCTTGACTCAGCCCCACTAAAGTGTCACCCTCAAGAACGAGACGCTTCGTCCCCAGTGCCAAGAGCTCATCCTGCTAATATAGATGGGAGCACATCTACCTGACCACTCCCCTCCACTCACCTGAACCTGAGCAACGCCCCAGGACCAACCCCCTGACCTTTTCCTGAGGCAGCCATAAGACTCCTGCAGGCCAGGTTCTCCTATGTGACCTGCAGTAACCTTTTCACGTGGAGCTCACTGAAGGTTCAGGTATACCGCTGTATCTTATACATCCAGTTGTAACAATGAATCATGGGAAAGGACATGCGCAGTAGGGGATGTGGACGTGACTCAGCACCCTGTCAGTCATCAGTCATGCTCTGGAGGACTCGGTGGGAGGTGCTGTAGACCTTGCTCAACATTTTAAATTCTTAAGCCCAGCACCCTCAAGTTGGTACCATTTTTCTTCCCCCTGGCATGAACCCACTCAATCCCAGTGTACCATTGCCTAATTAAACTTTGTTAAACTTGGCTGCTTTTTCCTTACCGCTGTGTGCTGTATCCAGTTCTTTGTCCCACACAAGAACCTAGAAATCAAGGCAGGCACAGTGCTCACGCCTGTAATCGCAGCACTCGGGGGGCTGAGGCAGGAGGACCACAGCAAGTTCAAGACCAGCCTGGGCCACAGAGTGAACTTGCTGAACTGCTCAGTGAGACCTTGTCTCAAAACACAAAAAAAAAGAGAAACCAGTCTGGAAACACATCACCATGGTAACACTGCCATACAGTAAGTGCTCAACAAATGTTTATTGAATAAATGGTGGTGCCTATGTCCTACTCCTTTGATAGCTGTGGGTAGTGGTTCTCTGTAAGGAATATTAACTTATCTAGCCTCTCCTTCGGAGCAGATGGTCAGACACAGAATGGATGCAGGATAGCTTAGAGCCAAAAGGAAAGGCCAGGTGTAGCTCCATGGTAGAGCAATTGCCCAGCTTGTGTGAGGCCCTGGGTTCCATCCCCAGCACCACACCAAAAAAAAAAAAAAAAAACCAAACCAAAAAACTAAAGGGAAAGAACTGTAGGGAAGCTGGCCTTCCCCTTGCCCGTCCCTCATAAGTGTGTACTGTGCAGTGCAGTTTTGATCGGTGTCTTTTATCTTAGTCATCTTTCTCCCCAGGGAGAACAGGGACAAGAAGCACGTTTTGCTCACTGTGCGGCCCCCAGGCCTCTCCAGGACTGGCCATCCTGTAAGACCGAAGGCCCGGCGTGAATGCAGAGCGGCTGCCATGTTCTGCCAGGCCAAGGACCAATGAGATGAGGTCATGGCTGTAGAAAGGGCTGGGCAGCCCTTGGGAGCTGGGCCTGTTTTCTCCTTTGGAGAAGGACGGTGACCTTACCCTCGCAGAAGGTCACTGTGAGAGTCAGCAGGAGGTCACTGAGCTCAGGAGCATAGGCTGGCCTTCAGGGGGTCTCCGAGCTGTCACTGGAGGGCTTGTC